GTCCCTTCAACTGTAACAGTAGCTGTTGTAGGACTAGAAGCAGTTTCTTCCCCAGTCGCTCCTTGTCCTCCTCCGTGAGACAGTCTACCAGAGGCTACATCAAAAACAGGTTTAGTCCACTTAGCAGGCACCCACAAAGGTCCTGTAGGTGAGGAAACACAAAGATATCCCTGACCCCAATATAATACTTTTGCAGGTTTTTCCCATAATCCTGTACTCGGGTTCTTATACTTAAGCCAGACCTCTGTTTCCTTAGTATTTTTCTGACCTGACCTCAGATGATGTTTAATTGCAGGAGGGGTATCGTCTTCCTCAAAAATACATAAATGTTTGATCACACACAGAACCTTAGCCAAACATGATTGTGGATCTCTCAAATCTTGATGCTTTTCAATATACTGCTTAAGGGTACCATTTGCTCTTTCCACTATTGCCTATCCAGTAGGAGAGTGTGGAATACCATTCACATGCTTAACAGACCACTGATTCAAAAATTTCTGGACCTCAGCATTTACATAAGCTGGACCATTATCTGTTTTAATACTCTTTGGAACTCCCATGACAGTGAAACAACTTAATGGATGCCTAATAACATGTATAGATTTCTCTCCTGCCTGAGCCGTAGCCCATATGTAGTGACTATATGTATCTATAGTGACATGCACACACTTAACTTTACCAAATCTAGCTATATGTGTAACATCCATTTGCCATTTCTCATTTATTTCTAAACCTCGAGGATTAACTCCAATGCCTAAACCTATTCCACCATTATGATAATTACATGTTGGACATGCTCTAACAATGGCCTTAGCTTCTGACAAACTCAGCTCAAAGTTCCTTGCTAATCCTTTTGCATTTTGATGATATCTACTATGTGCTTCTCTGGCCAATGTATGCTTATCAATAGGACAAGAGTTATCAATGGGTAGGGTAACCAATTTATCTGCATGTTCATTCCCTTCTCCTAAACCTTCAGACCATTTATGACTCCTAATATGAATCACAGAATACGCTGCATTTCTCTCCCGTAAAGCTTTCCTTAATTGTATCAATAACTCATACAATCGTTTATTATTCACTTCCTTAATTGCTCTATTCGTCTGACTACCCCTGCAACATACATAGAGTCTGTGACAACATTTAAAGGCTCCTGTAAGTTAGACATTGCCCATACTACTGCTAACAATTCCAAAGTTTGTAAGCTATCTGCAGAGTCTGCTGTAAGGAGTTGATGCTTCCATTGTCCTTTTTCTTGCCAGGTGACAGCAGCACACCTTGATTTCTTTCCTGCATCGGTAAAAGCAGTAATAGCTCCTGTATCCAATAATCCATAAAGGGTTATGCTTTGATGGCCATGGGTAATTTCCACTTTTTGTTTTGGTCTATTTTGTAAATCCACAGTTAAAAGTGTAACACCAGTAGACCCAAAACCTTTTTCATTCCGTGTTTGCCCAGTAAATGAAGGTAGCTAACACTCTTTGTGTAACTGCTGATGCTGAGCAAATATCAACCGAACTATTCCTCTTAAATCATTTGGGCATAAAACCTGAGTATTAAAAAGACAATCTAATATTTGCCTAACAGGTTCACTTTTTACTGCAAACTGACTAACTGTAGAACGTAACTGAGCTAACAACTTCCAATCTAAGGGACTATATGCCGCTATATTATGCGTAAGGTTCCCCTATGCATCATATTGTGGTGTATATGTAACCGGACATGCAAGACTAGAGGCTACTTCCATCGCCTCGCCATCCCCCATTTGCATTACTTCTTTTGCCACAGCAGCCCAAGCTTCCCTCCTCTGTTGAGCCATCTCCCCCCATAGATCACGGTGTGCCCCTGGGATGGGATCTGACTCTTTAAGGGTGCTATGCTGCTGGCACTTCGGTACAGACACCGAGTTCTCGCACGGGGAAGGCGGTGGAGCAGGAGCCGACTTGCGCGGGGGAAGCGGCCCCCCCCCGCTGGAGCTGACAGTGAAACTGGAGTCGACTCGCGCGAGGGAAGTGACCCCCCCGCTAGAGCCGGCCCGCTCGGGGGAAGCGGCAGAGGCAAAGCTGGCGGCGGAGGCGAAGCTAGCTTGCTCCCACCCCCACCATCCAACCTGCCTGAAGCTGGTGGCGGAGGCAAAGCTGGCTTGCTCTTACCTCCACTATCCAACTCGCCTGAAGCTGGCGGCGGAGGCAAAGCTGGCTTGCTCTTACCTCCACTATCCAACTCGCCCTCCCCCTCTGACAGGAAGGGTGCAGATGGTTCCACTGTATCTAAAGGAAAATTTTCCACACCATTTTGCTGGGGACCCTTAGGCATAAATATCTGAGTTACAGAAGGTGCCAGGGGATCATCCTCACGACCATACCCTATATTCTTCTTATAAGCTTCTGTTGCCCTTTCTGCTGCCTTTCTCTCAGAAACCTGCTGAAGCAACGTGTTAAATACCACCCGCCATAACTTGCCAAATTTCTTTGCTGACTTATCATCATCTAACACTGTATCCCACAGGATATCCCCAAACTTTTTCCACTCTACTATCTCATGAACTGTATGTGGGTTAGCAAAAATCCCTTTAGAATGACCATAAGCTAATAACCCTGGTAATTCCTTTTTTAAATCTATCCCTTTTACTCCTTGCCTTTCTAAATATGAGGAGAAGGGACCGTATGTCGCTTGCCTATCCATACCTATATATCAGCGCACGCTGTTGCAGCCCTTCCAGGCTCCTGCGACACGTAGAGACTTGAGATACCTTTTGTAATCCTCAAGGGTGCTTTTAAAATCTGGCACCGTCCCGGCTGCAAGGACTCTCACCCAACTTCCTCGACCATGGTGAGTTTCTTTGTAATCCAAGAAAGCAAGCGTTCAGGGGGTTGCCCGCATTCTCCACCATTTGTCAGAGGAAGGAGACCCAGACACCAATTGGTTCATACAAGTCCAATTTATTGATCAAATACGGCGGGTTAAATATAGTTCTTAATAAGCTTCATACATATTGCAAAAGTTGAGCTCAGGATTGGTTAGTTACATCTCAGCAACTACACCTACTTCTACATTCTTGTGCTTATTCTTCTGTTACATTCTGCAGATATTCAGGACTAATCTCACCTCCCTTTCCTCATGTTGCAGCAAGGTCATCCGGCATTCTTGCCTGTCAGCAGTCACTGAATCAGAGACTGCTGACCTCCCTTTCAAGCTTAACAAGGGGCATTATGTCAGGATGGCCTTTCTCAGCTAACCAACTCTTAATACAATCCTCCACAGGGCCCCGAGCTGAGGTTTGGGCCCAGGAGCTGAGAATGCGGGGCAGGGCCAGGGCAGGGTTGGGGCACGGGGACAGGAATGGGGTCAGGGGCTGGGATTTGGGGGAAGGGTCTGGGGAACGGGGACAGGGGGGACACAGCGATAAGGGTGGGGTCAAAACGATCAGGAGCACCATTACCCCAACCAGGAGCAGCAGCTTTGGCAAAGAAATAGGATCCAGAATCCTCGTCCTTGAGGTTGTTCATGATCAGCGTCACCGAGCTCTGCCCGTTGTCCCTGGAGATCCTGAACCAGCCCTTGACTGAATCCGCGTAGCCGGTGCCTCCACCAGTGTTGATCCCCGCGAGCCACTCCAGCCCCTGCCCTGGTCTCTGGCTTAGCCAATCCATACCAAAATACCCAAAACTGAACCCGGACCCTCGGCAGAGGAGGCGCAGGGACCCCCCGGGGGGCTGGAGGTCCCCCCCGGACTCCAGTAAGGTCACGGCCGCCCGGAGCCCTGCGGGACAAAGGGGAGATGGGGATGAGAAACCTGATTGGTCGAGGGACTTAAAGCTGGTGTGGCCAGCTGGAAAAAGGGGCAGGACCCGCCTGGGGGGAGGGTGATGAACTCCAAGGGTCTCAATTTGCGGCCCAGAGTCAGGATTTGGGTCAAGGGTTGAGCTTTGGCCCCATCCCCATCTCCCCTCTGTCCCGCAGGGCTCCGGGCGGCCGTGACCCTGCTGGAGTGTGGGGGGGACCTCCAGCCCCCCAGGGGGTCCCTGCGGCTCCTCTGCCGAGGGGCCGGGTTCAGTTTTGGGAGTTAGGGAATGTACTGGATCCGCCAGAGACCCGGGCAGGGTTTGGAATACGTCGCAGGGATCCACTACAATGGCCACACCATCTACGCCCCATCGGTGCAGGGCCGGTTCAGGATCTTCAGGGACAACGGGCAGAGCTCGGTGACACTGACCATGAACAACCTCAAGGACGAGGATTCCGCCATTTATTTCTGCGCCAAGTGTGCTGCTAATAATTACCCTGAACATGCTGCTCGTAGTGACGATGTCCAAGGTTTTCCCACCCCCATCCCCGTGTCCCCCCCCGTCCCCGTTGCCCAGACCCTTCCCCCAAATCCCCAGCCCACACCCAGCCTTTCATCATTGATCCCAAACTTGCTCTGCCTCAGACCCAATTCTCCCCCGCTGACCCCAAACCACAACTCCTGACCCCAAATCTCCTCTTTCTGCCCCAAACTTTGCTCTGAAGGTTGGGGTTTGAGGCCTGGGATCCTGATTTGGGTCAGAATTGGGGATTTGCGTCAGTGGTGGCTGCTCGGGGCCAGCAGCGCAGATTTGGGCACAGTTGGGCGAGTTCAGCCCAGGGATCCTGGCAGAGGGGCCGGGGCCAGCCCAGGAGCCAAAATGGCCCTGAGTGGGCCACGAGCTGAGATGTGGAGCCAGGAGCTGAGAATGTGGGGCAGGGCCAGAGCAGGGGGTGGGCACGGGGAAAGGATTGGGGTCAGGGGCTGGGGACTCGGGGAAGGGTCACTGTGGAGACAGTTGGTGACCATCACGGTGGTGGGAACACTGACGGTGCCGCTCCCAATAGCAGCAGCACTCTGAGAACCATAAGTACTACTGGCACGTTTTGTGCAGAAATAAACGGCGGAATCCTCGTCCTTGAGGTTGTTCATGGTCAGCACCACCGAGCTCTGCCCTTTGTCCCTGGAGATCGTGAACCGGCCCTTGACCGACGGCGCGTAGCCGGTGCCGCCACCACTGCTGCTCATGCTGGCGATGTATTTCAGTGTCTGCCCGGGTCTCTGACGGATCCAGATAATTCCAAAATTCCTGAAATCAAACCCAGTGGTGCTGCACAGCAACATCAGGGACCCCCCGGGGGGCTGGAGGTCCCCCCCTCACTCCAGCAGGGTCACGGCCGCCCGGAGACCTGCGGGACAAAGGGGAGTTGGGGAGGAGGCCCGGGATCCAGGTGTGGGTCCAGCTGGGGGTGACCAGATCCAAAAAGGGACCTCGAGCCCCCTGGGAGGGCCAGCAGGATGGGGAGGAGGAGAAAGTGCCACAATTTGGGGCCAACACCAGGATCTGCATGCAGGAATACACATTTGGATGGATTTTTTCCCTCATCCCCATCTCCCCTTTGTCCCGCAGGGCTCCGGGTGGCTGTGACCCTGCTGGAGTGCGGGGGGGACCTCCAGCCCCCCGGGGGGTCTCTGCGCCTCCTCTGGCGAGGGTCCGGGTTCGATTTCAGGAGCAATGGAATGTTCTGGATGTGCCAGAGACCCAAGCAGGCGCTGGAGTGGCTCGTGGGGATCAGCAGGGACGGTTCCAGCGCCAGCTACGGGACGTCATTCAAGGAGCGCGTGAGGATCTCCAGGGACAATGGGCAGAGCTCGGTGACGCTGACCATGAACAACCTCAAGGACGAGGATTCCGGATCCTATTTCTGTGCCAAATCTGCTGATAATTATTCGGGGAATAATGCTTATAATGTTGACCCCATCTCCATGGCTCTGCCCCCTCCCGTCCCCGTTTCCCAGCCCCTTCCCCAATCCCCAGCCCCTGACCCCATTGCTGTCCCCGTGTCCCAGCTCTGAGCAGGCTCTGCCCCAATCTCAGCTCTTGGCCTCAAACCTCAGCTCTGGGCTCCAACGTTCAACCAAGGTCTGCAAACCTGGGTGCAGATGGTTGAGATTTGGGAAAAACGGGCCAGATTTGGGTCCGTGGCTGTAACTCAGATCCACCACTGAAATTCTGGGCCAGAACGGGTCCAATCTGGGGGCAATGGTTGGGATTGGAGGTCTGAGGCTGAGCTCACGGTGAAACCAGCTCTGATTTGGGGCCAGGAGCTGAGATTTGGGGCCAGAGCAGGGCAGGGTTGGGACAAAGGGTCAGGAGTGGGGTCAGGAGTGGGAGTGTGGGGGAAGAGTCTGGGGAATGGGGCCAGGAGGGACACGGGGATGGGGCCGAAATGTCAAACATCAGCAGCATAAGGAGCAACACCAGCACCAGTGCGTTTGGCACAGCAATAGGATCCGGAATCCTCGTCCTTGAGGTTGTTCATGGTCAGCGTCACCGAGCTCTGCCCGTTGTCCCTGGAGATTGTGAACCGGCCCTTGACCGACGGCGCGTAATAGGTGCTGCCACCATCGTTGCTGATCCCCGCGAGACATTCCAGCCCCTGCCTGGGTCTCTGGCGGATCCACAGCATGGAGAAACTGCTGAAACTGAACCCGGACCCTCGACAGAGGAGGCGTAGGGACCCCCCGGGGGGCTGGAGGTCCCCCCTGCACTCCAGCAGGGTCACGGCCGCTCCCCCATCCCCAAACCTTCGCTGGTTTTGCCCCAAATTCCCTTTGTCTGGCCCCAAACCTCCAACAGCGATTTCCAGAATTGTAAAGTGCCTTCAACCCTGCAATGAGCCCCAATCCACCCATTAAATATTTCGACAGCTCTGTCTGACTTTTGCATCGCCCCATCCCCATCTCCCCTCCGTCCCAGTGTGGAACGGGGATCGCTCCAGGGCCCTTTGCACACAAAGCTTTTTGTGCAGCCGGCGCTCTGCTGCAGCGCCCCGAGGCTGAGCTGCCCTCTGCCAAACACAGATGTTCACAATGACCAAAACCAGGAACTTTCTGTTTCCTTTCCTGCCCCGGCCGGGCCCCGGCAGCTGCTGGGGAGGAAGTGGGGGGAGGCTGCGGAGCCCCAAAATCGCGGCATGTTCTCCTCCCTCCCTCCCTCCGTCGCTCCCACCTGGGGTTTTACTTCTCCCTCAGCGGCCTCGGTGTCTGGGGCTGCTCCTTGGGGCTGGGCTGGAATCCTCTCTGGGAGCTCTGGACATGGTGATGATGCTCGTGGTGGACCCAAACCCCCATCCCTGGCTCCCCAAATGTCCCAAAATCCCAAAATCCTGCCCCAAATCACAACCCTTGACCCCATTCTTGATCTTCTCCCCAAGTGTCCACCATCATTGCCCCAACTCTCGACTTTCCCCCAATTTTGCCCATTTCACCCAAATCTGCCCCAGCTCCCCGGGCCCTGATTGGAGGAGGCCTGAACAGGAGGTCAGGGGTGAAGTTTTGGGGCCAATGGTTGAGATTTGGGGCAGGAGCAGGGGAGGGTTTTGGGTCAGTGCGGACCATTGGGGCAAATGGGGGAGATTTGGGACAAAGGGTAAAGGGCTGAGGTTCAGGGAATGGTCTGAGTTTGGGGACAGAAGGGACTAAAAAATGAAGACTCAGAAAAAAACCATCATGACCAATATCATCACAATGAATGTCTTTACCAGCAGCAGGACCACAACAACCAGCCCAACTTTTGGCACAGAAATAGGATCCGGAATTCTCGTCCGTGAGGTTGTTCATTGTCAGCGTCACCGAGCTCTGCCCGTTGTCCCTGGAGATCGGGAACTGGCCCTTGACCGATGGCGCGTAGTAGATGTAGGAACCATCACTGTAGATGCCTGCGAGCCACTCCAGCCCCTGTCCGGGTCTCTGGCGGACCCAGCTCATGGGGTAACTCCTGAAATCGAACCCGGCCCCTCAGCAGAGGAGGCGCAGGGAACCCCCGGGGGGCTGGAGGTCCCCCCCACATTCCAGTCGGGTCACGGCTGCCCGGAGCCCTGCAGGACAAAGAGGAGATGGGGAGGAGGAGCTGGATTGGTTATGGACCCAAAGTGGGCACCGCCATGCCAGAAAAAGGGTGTGAGATCCACCTGGGAGGGCTAGCAGGAGCTGCAGGAGGAGGATGGGGAGGTCCCAGGGTCCCAATTTGGGGCCAACATCAGGGTCTGAAAGCAAGAATCAACATTTGGGTGGATTTGTTCCCTCATCCCCATCTCCCCTTTGTCCCGCAGGGCTCCGAGTGGCCGTGACCCTGCTGGAGTGCGGGGGGGACCTCACGCCTCCCGGGGGGTCCCTGCGCCTCCTCTGCCGAGGGTCCGGGTTCAGTTTCGGCAGTTTTGCCATGTAGTGGGTGTGCCAGAGACCCGGGCAGGGGCTGGAATTCGTCGCAAGGATCTAAAACACTGGTGCTTACACCAACTACGCGCCGTCGGTCAAGGGCCGGTTCAGGATCTCCAGGGACAACGGGCAGAGCTCGGTGACACTGACCATGAACAACCTCAAGGACGAGGATTCCGGATCCTATTTCAGTGCCAGATGTTACACCAGTGCTTGTGGTCATGGTTCTTATGCTTATGGTGTTGATGGTGGTTGTTGTCCCAAGCCCTCTCCTCACTGTTCCCAAGAATCACAAAATTCTCTGATCCTTCCTCCAAATCCCCACCCCAGTTTCCCAAATCTCAGATATTTTCCCCCAAACTCCACCATCACTTCCCCAATTCCCAGTTTTGCCCCAATTTTCCCCATTTCTCCCCAGTCTGGCCCTTCCCCTCCGTCCCAGTGTGGAACGGGGATCGCTCCAGGGCCCTTTGCACACAAAGCTTTGTGTGCAGCCGGCGCTCTTCCGCAGCGCCCCGAGGCTGAGCTGCCCTCTGCCAAACACAGATGTTCACAATGACCAAAACCAGGAACTTTCTGTTTCCTTCCCTGCCCCGGCCGGGCCCCGGCAGCTGCCGGGGAGGAAGTGGGGGGAGGCTGCGGAGCCCCAAAATCGCGGCATCTTCTCCTCCCTCCCTCCCTCACTCCCACCTGGGGCTTCACTTCTCCCTCAGTGGCCTCGGTGTCTGGGGCTGCTCCTTGGTGCTGGGCTGGAATCCTCTCTGCGAGCTCTGGAGAATAAACCCACATTTTTACCAAAAAACACCTGAAATTTTGGGGAGATGAAACTGTTTAAATTGATCTCGAGCCAAGGGCTCCATGCTGAGAGAAGCAGATGGGTGCAAGGGTGGAGTCACCTGGAACGTTCCATCGGTCAAGGGCCGAGTCAGCACGGCCAGGGACAGTGGGCTGAGCTCGGTGACGCTGGCCATGTGTGACCACAGGGGAAAGGTCTGGGGACAGCTGAGGACACAGCGATGGGGACAGGGCCAAAAGCACTGGCAATAACAGCATTGCCACCAGAAATACGCTTGGCACCAGAAATAGGATCTGGAATTGTCGTCATTGAGGTTGTTCATGGTCAGCGTCACTGAGCTCTGCCTGTTGTCCCAGGGGATCCTGAACCGACCCTGCACCGATGGACTGTAGATGGTGTAGCCTCCATTGTAGGTGATGTGGGCGACCAACTGCAGCCCCTGCCCGGGTCTCTGGCGGATCCAGAACATGTCGTGATTAGCCAGAGTGAGCCCAGAGCCGATGCAGAGCAACGTCAGGGACCCCCAAGGGGGTTGGAGGTCTCCCCCGCACTCCAGCAGGGTCACGGCCGCCCGGAGCCCTGCGGGACAAAGGGGAGATGGGGATGGGAAACCTGATTGGCCGTGGGGTCAAAGTAGGTGTGGCTTTCTGTAAAAAGGGGCGGGACACCACCAGGGAAGACAGTGATGAAATCCAAGGGTCCCAATTTGGGGCCAAGAGTCAGGATTTGGGTCAAGGGTTGAGCTTTGGCCTCACCCCCATCTCCCCTTTGTCCCGCAGGGCTCCGGGTGGCCGTGACCCTGCTGGAGTGCGGTGGGGACCTCCAACCCCCTGGGGGGTCCCTGACGTTGCTGTGCCGAGGGTCCGGGTTCAGTTTTGGGAGTTTTGGAATGTTCTGGATCCATCAGAGACCCGGGCAGGCGCTACAATTCGTGGCATACATCAACAGTGGTGGCACCACCTTCTACTCGCAGTCGGTCAAGGGCCGGTTCAGGATCTCCAGGGACAACGGG